GTAATAGACACTGCAGCATAAAGCAGAAAATGGGCCATATAGGTCCAAGTCTTCATATAGCCTCCATAGACCGTACCCCCCGATATTCGGTATGTTGATGATTTTAGCGACATTATAAGCAGATTTTTCTTCAAGTTTCGCATTTAAATATTGTAATAACTTATGACAAAAGTTGCCTATGCAGGTCCACGTCGTCGTATAGGCATTCGGTATTTTTAAGATTTTAACAGAATTTTTAACGAATTTTATTTTTATACCCTCCACCATACTATGGAGGGTATATTAATTTTTTCATTCCGTTTGTAACTCCTCGAAATACTCATGTCAGACCCAACAAAGTATATATATTCTTGATCAGCGTAAAATTCTTAGACGATTAAGCCATGTCCATCTGTCTGTCTGTGTGTCTGTCTGTCTGTCCGTCTGTCTGTCTGTTGTAATCACGCTATCGTAAATGGGCCATGTGGTCCAAGTTATCATATAGCCCCCATATAACCGTACCTCCCGATATTCAGTATTTTGATGATTTTAGCGACATTATTCGCCGGAATTGTTTCAAATTTGGCATTTGAAGTTCGTAATAAATACTACAGCCTAAGACAGAAAATTATCTGTGCAGGTCCACGTCTTCGTGTAGCCCCCATATAACGGTACCCCCCGATATTCGGTATTTTGATGATTTTAGCGACATTATTTAGCGCAATCGTTCCAAATTTGGTATTTGATGTTCGTAATAGACACTGCAGCATAAAACAGAAAATGGGCCATATAGGTCCAAGTCTTCATATAGCCTCCATATACCGTACCCCCCGATATTCGGTATGTTGATGATTTAGCGACATTATTTACCGGGATTGTTTCAAATTTCGCATGTGGAGTTCGTAATGGATACTTCAGCCCATGCCAGAAAATTGTCTGTGCAGGCCCACGTCTTCGTATATACGGCATTTTAATGATTTTAGCTACATTATAAACAGATTTTTCTTCAAGTTTCGCATTTAAATATTGTAATAACTTATGACAAAAGTTGCCTATGCAGGCCCACGTCGTTGTATAAGCATAAGGTTAAGTTCGTAAACGGGCCATGTAGGTCCAAGAAATCATATAGCCCCCACATAACGGTACCTCCCGATATTCGGTATTTTGATGATTTTAGCGACATTATTTAACGGAATCGTTCTAAATTTGGTAAATGAAGTTCGTAATAGATACTGCAGCATAAAACAGAAAATGGGTCATGTAGGTCCACGTCTTCGTATAGCCCCCATATATCATACCCCCCTGATATTTGGTATTGTAATGATTTTAGCGACATTATTTACCGGTATCGTTTCAAAGTTGGCATTTGAAGTTTGTAATAGATGTTGCAGCATTAAACAGAAAATGGGCCATGTAGGTCCACATCTTCGTATAGCCCCCATATACCGTACCCCCCCATATTGATGATGATGATGATTTTATCGACATTATTTACAGGGATTGTTTCAAATTTCGCATGTGAAGTTCTTAATGGATACTTCAGCCCATGGCAGAAAACTGTCTGTGCAGGTCCGCGTCTTCGTATAGCCCCCATAAAACGGTACCCCCTATATTCGGTATTTTGATGATTTTAGCGACATTATTTAGCGCAATCGTTCCAAATTTGGTATTTGAAGTTCGTAATAGACACTGCAGCATAAAGCAGAAAATGGGCCATATAGGTCCAAGTCTTCATATAGCCTCCATAGACCGTACCCCCCGATATTCGGTAAGTTGATGATTTTAGCGACATTATAAGCAGATTTTTCTTCAAGTTTCGCATTTAAATATTGTAATAACTTATGACAAAAGTTGCCTATGCAGGTCCACGTCGTCGTATAGGCATTCGGTATTTTTAAGATTTTAACAGAATTTTTAACGAATTTTATTTTTATACCCTCCACCATACTATGGAGGGTATATTAATTTTTTCATTCCGTTTGTAACTCCTCGAAATACTCATGTCAGACCCAACAAAGTATATATATTCTTGATCAGCGTAAAATTCTAAGACGATTAAGTCATGTCCATCTGTCTGTATGTGTGTCTGTCTGTCTGTCCGTCTGTCTGTCTGTTGTAATCACGCTATCGTAAATGGGCCATGTGGTCCAAGTTATCATATAGCCCCCATATAACCGTACCTCCCGATATTCAGTATTTTGATGATTTTAGCGACATTATTCGCCGGAATTGTTTCAAATTTGGCATTTGAAGTTCGTAATGAATACTACAGCCTAAGACAGAAAATTATCTGTGCAGGTCCACGTCTTCGTGTAGCCCCCATATAACGGTACCCCCCGATATTCGGTATTTTGATGATTTTAGCGACATTATAAACAGATCTTTCTTCAAGTTTCGCATTTAAATATTGTAATAACTTATGACAAAAGTTGCCTATGCAGGCCCACGTCGTCGTATAAGCATAAGCTTAAGTTCGTAAACGGGCTATGTAGGTCCAAGAAATCATATAGCCCCCACATTACCGTACCTCCTGATATTCGGTATTTTGATGATTTTTGCGAAATTATTCACCGGAATTGTTTCAAATTTGGCATTTGAAGTTCGCAATGGATACTACAGCCTAAGACAGAAAATAATCTATGTAGGTCCACGTCTTCGTATAGCCCCTTTATAATGGTACCCCCCGATATTCGGTATTTTGATGATTTTAGCGATATTGTTTACCGGAATCGTTTCAAATTTGGTATTTGAAGTTCGTAATGGATTCGTAATCCTAAGTCAAAAAATGAGACGTGGACCTAGTCTTCGTATAGCCCCTATATAATGGCACCCCCCGATATTCGGCATTTTGATGATTTTAGCGACATTATTTAGCAAAATTGTTTCAAATTTAGTATTTGAAGTTCGTAATAGACACTGCAGCATAAAACAGAATATGGACCATATAGGTCCATGTCTTCATATAGCCCCCATATACCGTACCCCCGATATTCGGTATGTTGATGATTTTAGCGACATTATTTACCGGGATTGTTTCAAATTTCGCATGTTGAGTTCGTAATGGATACTTCAGCCCATGCCAGAAAATTGTCTGTGCAGGTCCACGTCTTCGTATAGCCCCCATATAACGGTACCCCCCATATACGGTATTCTAATGATTTTAGCTATATTATAAACAGATCTTTCTTCAAGTTTCACATTTAAATATTGTAATAACTTATGACAAAAGTTGCCTATGCAGGCCCACGTCGTCGTATAAGCATAAGGCGAAGTTCGTAAACGGGCCATGTAGGTCCAAGAAATCATATAGCACCCACGTAACGGTACCTCCCGATATTCGGTATTTTGATGATTTTTGCGACACTATTCACCGGAATTGTATCAAATTTGGCATTTGAAGTTCGTAATGGATGCTACAGCCTAAGACAGAAAATAATCTATGTAGGTCCACGTCTTCGTATAGCCCCCATATACCATACCCCCCGATATTCGGTATTTTGATGATTTTAGCGACATTATTTACCGGAAACGTTTGAAAGTTGGCATTTGAAGTTCGTAATAGATGCTGCAGCATAAAACAGAAAATGGGCCATGTAGGTCCACATCTTCGTATAGCCCCTATATACCGTACCCCCCCGATATTCGGTATTTTGATGATTTTAGCGACATTATTTACCAGGATTGTTTCAAATTTCGCATGTGAAGTACTTAATGGATACTTCAGCCCATGCCAGAAAATTGTCTGTGCAGGTCCACGTCTTCGTATAGCCCCCATATAACCGTACCTACCGATATTCGGTATTTTGATGATTTTAGCGACATTATACGCTGTAATGAATACTAAAAGTTCGGCCGAACTTACAGCTTTTTTGCTTGTTTGACTTAGGATTACGAATCCATTACGAACTTCAAATACCAAATTTGAAACGATTCCGGCAAACAATGTAGCTAAAATCATCAAAATACCGAATAGCGGGGGCTACCGTTATAGGGGGGCTATATGAGGACGTGGACCTACAAGGCTCATTTTTATACCCGCCACCATACTATGGAGGGTATATTAATTTTGTCATTCCGTTTGTAACTCCTCGAAATACAAATTTGTCACTAGGCAGGTTAAGTTCGTAAATGTGCCATGTAGGTCCAAGAAATCATATAGCCCCCATATAACGGTACCTCCCGATATTCGGTATTTTGATGATTTTTGCGACATTATTCACCGGAATTGTTTCAAATTTGGCATTTGAAGTTCGTAATGGATACTACAGCCTAAGACAGAAAATAATCTATGTAGGTCCACGTCTTCGTATAGCCACTATATAATGGCTAAATCGTCTTAGAATTTTACGCTGATCAAGAATATGTACTTTGTTGGGTCTGGGTTGGGTATTTCGAGGAGTTACAAATGGAATGACAAAGTTAATATACCCTCCATAGTATGGTGGAGGGTATAAAAAGGACAAATATTTATTTTCCACAGCTATCGTGTATTTTGTGTTACCTAAATACATAAGTAAATTTGTACACGTGTTTGATTTTGGGAAAAAAATACTTTCGTTAATTACTGTTCTTATTATGTAATTTTATTGAGCCAATATAATCGTGGACGCCGCTGGATTATTTTTTAACACAGGTCATAAAAGATAATAAAATATTTTAAATTTTTCCTAATTACTTACAGGTCATAATTCTCGAAAATCCCCATAATTTGGTTATTTTTATAATTTCTTCTTGATTTTGAAAAAATTGTCATTTTCATATTCTCTGTCAAATTTAACAAATTTCATCCAAAAATGACATTTTGGCAAAATATTCATACGTTTCCATTCAATACATTTTCCATCAATACATTTTTTCCTTTGAAAATTTCTGTCTCAGCCTTATATTTCGTTGCTTTGCCGTTGTACTGAAACAAAATGCTCACACATACATGATGCCCATTCGATGTTGATCAACGACGGCAAGGCAAATCACCACTAACACACGCACACATATACGACGGCAAGGCTGTTATGACATATTTACTTGGAGCTGGTGTATTTAGTAACAGCTGTGGTACCTCCATTGACGGGGTGCTTAGCCAATTCACCGGGCAACAATAGACGGACGGCGATCTGCATTTCCCGACTGGTGATTTTTGAGCGCTTGTTGTAGTGGGCCAAACGAGAGGCTTCGGCGGTAATACGTTCGAAGATATCGTTGACGAAACTCTTCATGATGCTCATGGCCTTGGAGGAGATACCGGTGTTGGGATGGACTTGCTTCAACACATTTTAAATAGCGTAACTCTCCTTACGCTTAGTACGTCTTTTCGACTTATCGCCCTTGGTAATGTTCTTTTGGGCTTTGCCGACCTTCTTAGCTGCTTTACCACTGGATTTAGGGGGCATTTTCACTTATTATTTGTTTGAATCACACCACCCCATTATTGAAGAAATGTGTGTGTGAGAAAAGTATAAATAGCACATTGCGAGCCTAAAATTTTTATCATTTGTGTTTTTTAGTGCTTACGTGAAAATGTCTAGTCGTTGTAAAGGTGGCAAAGTTAAGGGAAAGACAAAGTCCCGTTCCAACCGTGCTGGGCTTCAATTCCCCGTTGGCCGTATCCACCGTCTGTTGCGCAAAGGCAACTATGCCGGTGCTCCCGTCTATTTAGCCGCTGTCATGGAATATTTGGCTGCTGAAGTCTTGGAATTGGCTGGCAATGCTGCCCGTGACAACAAGAAGACTCGTATCATTTCACGTCACTTGCAATAAGCCATCCGTAACGACGAAAAATCTAACAAATTGCTGCCTGGCGTTACCATTGCCCAAGGTGGTGTATTGCCAAACATCCAAGCTGTTCTCTTGCCCAAGAAGACCGAAAAGAAAGCCTAAATTATATCAAAAGGTATTATGGAATGAAGAAGAAGAATACAGACCATCGTATAATTCCATACAAAAATCAACCAAGCCGCCCTTTTCAGGACGACAAAAATATTTCAAAAGAGAAAGAATCTCCTCAAACTACATGTGTATGAAAAAAATAAAAATTCTCAATCATTTTGTATTTGCCGTTGGCTTCATAAATGTTTTTATACCCTCAAGCGTTCCGTTTGTAACACCTCGAAATATACATTGTAGACCCCACAAAGTATATATATTCTTGATCAGCATACAATTCTACGTCGATTTATCTATGTCCTTACGTCTGCCCGTCTGTGGAAATCACTCTAGCTTCCGAACGAAATGAAGTAGGTTGATAAAATTTTACTCGAATGTGTATTATGTCTGCAGGACTTTTGGTGTTGAAAATGGGCCATGTAGGTCCACGTCTTCGTATAGCCCCCATATAACGGTACCTCCCGATATGCGGTATTTAGCGACATTATTTACTGGAACTATTTCAAATTTGGTATTTGAATTTCATAATGAATACTACAGCCTATGACAGAAAATTGTCTCTGCAGGTCCCATCTCCGTATAGCCCCCATAAAACGGAACCCCCAATATTCGGTATTTTGATGATTTTAGCGACATTATTTACCGGAATTATTTAAAACTTTGACAAAGCAAACAAGCCATCAGCTGCCCCTACCCACCCTTCAAACCAGCAAATGGTTGATGCCGCCATCAAGACACTGAAGGAATGTGGAGGTTCATCATTACCATCAAGAAATACTTGGCCAGCATCTACAAAGTAGATGCCCAAAAATTGACCCCCTTCATCAAGAAGTGCTTGAAAGTTGCCGTTGCCAGTGGAAATTTAATCCAAACTAAAGGTAAGGGTGCTTTTGGTTCATTCAAATTGTCTGCTTCGGGATCCAAGGAACCCAAAGCCAAGACTGCTGAAAAGAAGGCCCCAGCCGCTGGGCTGCCGCCCCTAAAAAGGCCACTGGTGAGAAGAAAAACAAAACAAAGGCAAAGGCAGCCAAGAAAACCGGTACAGTTAAAGCTAAACCAACAAAGACTTACAGGTCATAATTCTCGAAAATCCCCATGATTTGGTTATTTTTATAATTTCTTCTTGATTTTGAAAAAATTGTCATTTTCATATTCTCTGTCAAATTTAACAAATTTCATCCAAAAATGACATTTTGGCAAAATATTCATACGTTTCCATTCAATACATTTTCCATCAATACATTTTTTCCTTTGAAAATTTCTGTCTCAGCCTTATATTTCGTTGCTTTGCCGTTGTACTGAAACAAAATGCTCACACATACATGATGCCCATTCGATGTTGATCAACGACGGCAAGGCAAATCACCACTAACACACGCACACATATACGACGGCAAGGCTGTTATGACATATCGCAAAAGCAAGCAAAGGGCCTGAAAAGGGCCTTTTGAGGTAGTATTTCGACGCAGAATAAAAAAAAGCAAGACATTTACTTGGAGCTGGTGTATTTAGTAACAGCTGTGGTACCTCCATTGACGGGGTGCTTAGCCAATTCACCGGGCAACAATAGACGGACGGCGATCTGCATTTCCCGACTGGTGATTGTTGAGCGCTTGTTGTAGTGGGCCAAACGAGAGGCTTCGGCGGTAATACGTTCGAAGATATCGTTGACGAAACTCTTCATGATGCTCATGGCCTTGGAGGAGATACCGGTGTTGGGATGGACTTGCTTCAACACATTTTAAATAGCGTAACTCTCCTTACGCTTAGTACGTCTTTTCGACTTATCGCCCTTGGTAATGTTCTTTTGGGCTTTGCCGGCCTTCTTAGCTGCTTTACCACTGGATTTAGGGGGCATTTTCACTTATTATTTGTTTGAATCACACCACCCCATTATTGAAGAAATGTGTGTGTGAGAAAAGTATAAATAGCACATTGCGAGCCTAAAATTTTTATCATTTGTGTTTTTTAGTGCTTACGTGAAAATGTCTAGTCGTTGTAAAGGTGGCAAAGTTAAGGGAAAGACAAAGTCCCGTTCCAACCGTGCTGGGCTTCACTTCCCCGTTGGCCGTATCCACCGTCTGTTGCGCAAAGGCAACTATGCCGGTGCTCCCGTCTATTTAGCCGCTGTCATGGAATATTTGGCTGCTGAAGTCTTGGAATTGGCTGGCAATGCTGCCCGTGACAACAAGAAGACTCGTATCATTTCACGTCACTTGCAATAAGCCATCCGTAACGACGAAAAATTTAACAAATTGCTGCCTGGCGTTACCATTGCCCAAGGTGGTGTATTGCCAAACATCCAAGCTGTTCTCTTGCCCAAGAAGACCGAAAAGAAAGCCTAAATTATATCAAAAGGTATTATGGAATGAAGAAGAAGAATACAGACCATCGTATAATTCCATACAAAAATCAACCAAGCCGCCCTTTTCAGGACGACAAAAATATTTCAAAAGAGAAAGAATCTCCTCAAACTACATGTGTATGAAAAAAATAAAAATTCTCAATCATTTGTATTTGCCGTTGGCTTCATAAATGTTTTTATACCCTCAAGCGTTCCGTTTGTAACACCTCGAAATATACATTGTAGACCCCACAAAGTATATATATTCTTGATCAGCATACAATTCTACGTCGATTTATCTATGTCCTTACGTCTGCCCGTCTGTGGAAATCACTCTAGCTTCCGAACGAAATGAAGTAGGTTGATAAAATTTTACTCGAATGTGTATTATGTCTGCAGGACTTTTGGTGTTGAAAATGGGCCATGTAGGTCCACGTCTTCGTATAGCCCCCATATAACGGTACCTCCCGATATGCGGTATTTAGCGACATTATTTACTGGAACTATTTCAAATTTGGTATTTGAATTTCATAATGAATACTACAGCCTATGACAGAAAATTGTCTGTGCTGGTCCCATCTCCGTATAGCCCCATATAACGGAACCCCCAATATTCGGTATTTTGATGATTTTAGCGACATTATTTACCGGAATTATTTAAAATTTTGACAAAGCAAACAAGCCATCAGCTGCCCCTACCCACCCTTTAACTCAGCAAATGGTTGATGCCGCCATCAAGACACTGAAGGAATGTGGAGGTTCATCATTACCATCAAGAAATACTTGGCCAGCATCTACAAAGTAGATGCCCAAAAATTGACCCCCTTCATCAAGAAGTGCTTGAAAGTTGCCGTTGCCAGTGGAAATTTAATCCAAACTAAAGGTAAGGGTGCTTTTGGTTCATTCAAATTGTCTGCTTCGGGATCCAAGGAACCCAAAGCCAAGACTGCTGAAAAGAAGGCCCCAGCCGCTGGGCTGCCGCCCCTAAAAAGGCCACTGGTGAGAAGAAAAACAAAACAAAGGCAAAGGCAGCCAAGAAAACCGGTACAGTTAAAGCTAAACCAACAAAGACCGCGGCTAAAGTATCTGCCACTAAACCAGTCACACGCAGAAAAATACACGTTCGAAATATGTTTGAATCCAAGTATGTATATATTTGGGGCTGCTTGCAAACAAATATATATTTGCATGCAAACATATTATGCTTGGGTATGGGTATATATGTGTTTGCAACATTTTGTAACATATTTAAATTTTAATTGTTTGGGTTCAAGCATCTTTTTGATGTGAGAACGTGTTTTTTAACTGGTGAGAGAAAAGTTCTGTGATACAGAGTTTATGGCGCACAAGTGTTTATGGCGCAGGAAAAACAAAGTTTTCACCCCCCTTGTCATCGCTTTTGCGTCTTCTGATGCACTATACAAACAGCCTTTTGTTATAAAATGTGTGAGAGCGCTATTGTTACGCTCTGTATCACATAACTTTTCTCTCACCCGTTAAAAAACACGTTCTCACATCAAAAATATGTTTGAACCCAAACAATTAAAATATAGATATGTTACAAAATGTTGCAAACACATATATACCCATACTCAAGCATAATATGTTTGCATGCAAATATATATTTGTTTGCAAGCAGCCCCAAATATATACATACTTGGATTCAAAGATATTTCGAACGTGTATTTTTCTGCGTTTGCCTTTGGTTTAGTGGCAGATGCTTTGGCCGCGGTCTTTGTTGATTTAGCTTTAACTGTACCGGTTTTCTTGGCTGCCTTTGCCTTTGTTTTGTTTTTCTTCTAACCAGCGGCCTTTTTAGGAGCGGCTGCCTTCACCAGCGGCTGGGAACTTCTTTTCAGCAGTCTTGGCTTTGGGTTCCTTGGAGGCCGAAGCAGACAATTTGAATGAACCAAAAGCACTCTTACCTTTAGTTTGGATCAATTTTCCACTGGCAACTGCAACTTTCAAGCACTTCTTGATGAAGGGGGTAAATTTTTGGGCATCTACTTTGTAGGTGCTGGCCAAGTATTTCCTGACGGCGGGCAATGAGAACCTCCACATTCCTTCAGGGTCTTGATGGCGGCATCAACCATTTGCTGGTTTGAAGGGTGGGTAGGGGCAGCTGATGGCTTGTTTGCTTTGTCAAAGTTTTAAATAATTCCGGTAAATAATGTCGCTAAAATCATCAAAATACCGAATATTGGGGGTTCCGTTTTATGGGGGCTATACGGAGATGGGACCTGCAGAGACAATTTTCTGTCATAGGCTGTAGTATTCATTATGAAAATCAAATACCAAATTTGAAATAGTTCCAGTAAATAATGTCGCTAAATACCGCATATCGGGAGGTACCGTTATATGGGGGCTATACGAAGACGTGGACCTACATGGCCCATTTTCAACACCAAAAGTCCTGCAGACATAATACACATTCGAGTAAAATTTTATCAACCTACTTCATTTCGTTCGGAAGCTAGAGTGATTTCCACAGACGGTCAGACGTAAGGACATAGATAAATCGACGTAGAATTGTATGCTGATCAAGAATATGTATACTTTGTGGGGTCTAAAATTTATATTTCGAGGTGTTACAAACGGAACGCTTGAGGGTATAAAAACATTTATGAAGCCAACGGCAAATACAAAATGATTGAGAATTTCTTTTTTTTTTTTTCATACACATGTAGTTTGAGGAGATTTTTTCTCTTTTGAAATATTTTTGTCGTCCTGAAAAGGGGGGCTTGGTTGATTTTTGTATGGAATTATACGATGGTCTGTATTCTTCTTCTTCATTCCATAATACCTTTTGATATAATTTAGGCTTTCTTTTCGGTCTTCTTGGGCAAGAGAACAGCTTGGATGTTTGGCAATACACCACCTTGGGCAATGGTAACACCAGGCAGCAATTTGTTAAATTTTTCTTCGTTACGGATGGCTAATTGCAAGTGACGTGAAATGATACGAGTCTTCTTGTTGTCAGCAGCCAAATATTCCATGACAGCGGCTAAATAGACGGGAGCACCGGCACCAACACGCTCAGCATAGTTGCCTTTGCGCAAAAGACGGTGGATACGGCCAACGGGGAATTGAAGCCCAGCACGGTTGGAACGGGACTTTGTCTTTCCCTTAACTTTGCCACCTTTACAACGACTAGACATTTTCACGTAAGCACTGAAAAACACAAATGATAAAAATTTTAGGCTCGCAATGTGCTATTTATACTTTTCTCACACACACATTTCTTCAATAATGGGGTGGTGTGATTCAAACAAATAATAAGTGAAAATGCCCCCTAAAACCAGTGGTAAAGCAGCAAAGAAGGCCGGCAAAGCCCAAAAGAACATTACCAAGGGCGATAAGTCGAACAGACGTACTAAGCGTAAGGAGAGCTACGCTATTTAAAATGTGTTGAAGCAAGTCCATCCCGACACCTGTATCTCCTCCAAGGCCATGAGCATCATGAAGAGTTTCGTCAGCGATATCTTCGAACGTATTACCACCGAAGCCTCTCGTTTGGCCCACTACAACAAGCGCTCAACAATCACCAGTCGGGAAATGCAGATCGCCGTCCGTCTATTGTTGCCCGGTGAATTGGCTAAGCACCCCGTCAATGGAGGTACCACAGCTGTTACTAAATACACCAGCTCCAAGTTAATATCTTGCTTTTTTTCATTTTGCGTCGAAATACTACCTCAAAAGGCCCTTTTCAGGCCCACAAAAAGATATCATATTTTTGTTGAAACCCCATAATCATAAATATTTAGTAATAAACTAATAAAAATCCATAGAAATTATATTTTTCTCTATACAATGATTTTCCATGCATTTAGCTTAATCGCATATGTACCTATGTTTGGCCTTTGCTTGCTTTTGCGATATGTCATAACAGCCTTGCCGTCGTATATGTGTGCGTGTGTTAGTGGTGATTTGCCTTGCCGTCGTTGATCAACATCGACTGGGCATCATGTATGTGTGAGCATTTTGTTTCAGTACAACGGCAAAGCAACGAAATATAAGGCTGAGACAGAAATTTTCAAAGGAAAAAATGTATTGATGGAAAATGTATTGAATGGAAACGTATGAATATTTTGCCAAAATGTCATTTTTGGATGAAATTTGTTAAATTTGACAGAGAATATGAAAATGACAATTTTTTCAAAATCAAGTAGAAATTATAAAAATAACCAAATTATGGGGATTTTCGAGAATTATGACCTGTAGGTAATTAGGAAAAATGTTAAATATTTTATTATCTTTTATGACCTGTGTTAAAAAATAATCCAGCGGCGTCCACGATTATATTGGCTCAATAAAATTACGTAATAAGAACAGTAATTAGCGAAAGTATTTTTTTCCCAAAATCAAACACGTGTACAAATTTACTTATGTATTTAGGTAACAAAAAATATACGATAGCTGTGGAAAATAAATATTTGTCCTTTTTATACCCTCCACCATACTATGGAGGGTATATTAACTTTGTCATTCCATTTGTAACTCCTCGAAATACTCATGTCAGACCCAACAAAGTATATATTCTTGATCAGCGTAAAATTCTAAGACGATTTAGCGATGTCCGTCTGTCTGTCCGTCTGTCTGTCTGTTGTAATCACGCTATCTTTCGAATGAATTGAGATAGATGGCTAAAATTTTGCACACATGTTTATTTTTCCAGTAGGCAGGTTAGGTTCGTAAATGGGCCATGTAGGTCCACGTTTTCATATAGCTCCCATATAACGGTACCCCCCCTATATTCGGTATTTTGATGATTTTAGCGACGTTATTCACCGGAATTGTTTCAAATTTGGTATTTGAAGTTCCAAATGGATACTACACCCTAAGATTGAAAATTGTCCGTGCAAGTCTATGTCTTCGTATAGCCCCCAAATGACGGTACCTCCCGATATTCGGTATTTTGATGATTTTAGCGACATTATTCACGGGATTTGTTTCAAATCTGGTATTTGAAGTTCCAAATGGATACTACACCCTAAGACAGAAAATTGTCTTTGCAGGTCCACGTCTTCGTATAGCCCCAATATAACGGTACCTCCCTATATTCGGTATTTTGATGATTTTAGCGACGTTATTCACCGGAATTGTTTCAAATTTGGTATTTGAAGTTCCAAATGGATACTACACCCTAAGACTGAAAGTTTCTGTGCAGGTCCACGTCTTCGTATAGCCCCCATATAACGGCACCTCGCTATGTTCGGTATTTTGATGATTTTAGCGACATTATTAACCTGTGACAGAAAATTGTCGGTGCGGGTCCAGTTTCGAATTTGAATATGGTAATGGCTTATGACAAACAATGCATATGTATGTCCACGTCGTATAGACCCCAATATAACGGCTATATTCGGTATTTTTAAAATTTTAACAGAATTTTTTAAGGATTTTATTTTTTGAAAATTTCCAAATTCGTTGCAAATGGTGGAGGGTATTAAAAGTTCGGCCCGGCCGAACTTACTGCTTTTTAACTTGTTCTCTAAACAATGGTTTTCCATGCATTTAGCTTAATCGCATATGTACCTATGTTTGGCCTTTGCTTGCTTTTGCGATATGTCATAACAGCCTTGCCGTCGTATATGTGTGTGTGTGTGTTAGTGGTGATTTGCCTTGCCGTCGTTGATCAACATCGAATGGGAATCATGTATGCATGAGCATTTTGTTTCAGTACAACGGCAAAGCAATGAAATATAAGGCTGAGACAGAAATTTTCAATGGAAAAAATGTATTGATGGAAAATGTAAATATTTTGCCAAAATGTCATTTTTGGATGAAATTTGTTAAATTTGACAGAGAAATGACAATATGAAAAATACATTTTTTTCAAAATTAAGTAGAAGTCATAAAAATAACCGAATTATGGGGATTTTCGAGAATTATGACCTGAAGGTAATTAGGAAAAAATTTAAATATTTTATTATCTTTTATGACCTGTGTTAAAAAATAATCCAGCGGCGTCCACGATTATATTGGCTCAATAAAATTACGTAATAAGAACAGTAACTAGCGAAAGTAATTTTTTCCCAAAATAAAACACGTATACAAATTTACTTACGTATTTAGGTGACAAAAAATATACGATAGCTGTTGAAAATAAATATTTGTCTCTTTTTTAATTTAATTTGTAACCCTGAAAAGGGCTATTTTTGTGGACAAAGTAATCTTTCTGGAAAAATTACTTCTTGGCGGCTGCTTTCTTAGCAGCTGGCTTCATTGCTGCTGCGGCCTTTTTAAGCTTAGCAGCTGCAGGTTTTGCCTTGGGTGCATGGAGGAAAAAAATTGCCTCTCTAGCATATGTCTCCAAAATATTTTGCAGCAAACATGTATATGTTTGCTATAGTCTCAAACATATAATATGTTTGGGTACTACAGGTAAATATATGCTTAGATGCAAGTATATGTATATGCTTGGATGCAGGTAAAGTTATACGTGGATACAAGTAAGCATATATATACTTCAATACAAACACATATATGATTGATCTAAGCATGTATATGCTTATTGTTGTTTTTATAAAAACAACGTTTGTTTATTAGTGGAGGACGATGGCAATGATTACCATGGGGTAAGGCAGGGAATACCTAGGTTTCGGAGAGCCTACAATCCTCGTCAGTTCCCTTGTTATTTGTCTGGGATATTCTCCCCAGAAGTTATTTTAAAAATAACTTCTGTGTCGAAAAACTTTTTTTACCCAAGTGACGAGATTGTAAGCTCTATATAAGAGGAACCAAAGAATTAAATAAAACTAAAATTCTTTCAGAAAATCTTCTAAATCTTACAACCGCACTTATAAACATTTTCATCATTCTTCACGCAACAGCATCACAAATAACAAAACACAAGTATTTAGCGCGCAGCAAAAATAAAGTCACACCCCTTGTCATCGCTTTTGCGTCTTCTGCTGCACTCTACAAACAACCCTTTGTTATAAAATGTGTGAGAGCGCTATTGTTACGGTCTGTGTCACAAAACTTTTCTCTCAACCGTTAAAAAATACCCTCTAACATAAAAAATATGTTTGAACCTATACAGTTAAAATTTAAATATGTTACAAAATGTTGCAAACACATATATACCCATGCCCAAGCATAATATGTTTGCATGCAAATATATATTTGCAAGCAGCCCCAAATATATACATACTTGGATTCAAACATATTTCGAATATGTATTTTCTTTTGTGTGCCTTTGGTTTAGTGACAGATGCCTTGGCAGCGGTCTTTGCTGGTTTATCTTTAACTGTACCGGTTTTCTTGGCTGCCTTTGCCTTTGTTTTGTTGGCTTTCTTCTTTTCAGCGGCATTCTTCTTATTGGCGGCAGATGGTTTTTTGTCAGCTGCCTTCTTCTCACCAGTGGCCTTTTTAGGGGCGGCAGCCTTCTTCTTTTTGTCACCAGCGGCTGGGGCCTTCTTCTTCTTCTTTTCAGCAGTCTTGGCTTTGGGTTTCTTGGAGGCCGAAGCAGACAATTGGAATGAACCAAAAGCACCCTCACCTTTAGTTTGGATCAATTTTCCACTGGCAACGGCACCTTTCAAGTAATTCTTGATGAAGAAGGCCAATTTTTGGGCATCTACTTTGTAGGTGCTGGCCAAGTATTTCTTGATGGCGGCAATTATGAACCTTCACATTCCTTCAGGTTCTTGATGGCGGCATCAACCATTTGCTGGGTTGAAGGGTGGGTAGGGGCAGCAATAGCGGCAACTGGGGAGGCGTTGGCTTCAACAACGGCGGCGTCAGACATGGTTATTCACTGTTTGGTTTATATTTCACTTTTAACACAGATACACTCACAAATTTATGTGTTAGCGGCGCTTCAAATTTATTGGTTCCAAAATTCATAAACAATATTTCAATAACTTACGTCTAACAATAGGTCTTAATATTACTTAGCATATTAGGATTTTTCTAAGTCTATGTCTATTAAACATACAAATGCTGTATCAGGTATGCAAACATATCTGTAATACTAGTTTTATATCTTTATTCAATATTTCTAAAAAAAGGAATCATAAAAAGGAGTTCATTACATTTTTTTTGTTTTACTTAAAACTAACTTATACTAGAGAAATAAATAATAAATATTTACAAAAGAAAAGAGGGCTTAATCGTTTATTGATCTGTTTTGTAAACGGTGTTGATAATATCG